TTTTTTCTTTTTCTCTTTGTAATTCTTTGAGTTGTAGAGTTAAATGATTTACTATCATTTTTTCTTGTTTTTTGAGGTAGGCCTGTAGTGTTATAAACTTCCTTCTCAGGACTGTTTTCATTGTGTCCCATAGATTTTGGGTTGTTGTATTGTTATTGTCATTAGTTTCCAGGGTGTGTTTAATTTCTACTTTGATCTCACTGGTAACCCAATCATTATTTAGTAATATGCTATTCAGCTTCCAAGTGTTTGAGTTTTTTGGATTGTTTTTATTGTGGTTTATTTCTAATATTATGCCCTTGTGATCTGAGAAGATGCTTGGTATGATTTCAGTCTTCTTATATTTGGGGAGACTTTGCTTGTGACCCAATATGTGGTCTATTTTTGTAGATGTCCCATGTGCACTTGAGAAGAACGTATATTCCGTGGCTTTGGGGTGAAATGTTCTGAAGATGTCAATTAAGTCCATCTGATCCAGTGAGTCATTTAGGATTGCTGTTTCTCTGCTGATTTTTTGTCTAGAGGATTTATCCAGTGATGTCAGTGGTGTGTTTAAGTCCCCTACTATGATTGTGTTGTTGTTGATCTCTCCCTTGTTATTTTCCAGGAGGTTTTTTATGTATTTGGGTGCTCCTGCATTGGGTGCATATATGTTTATAAGGGTTGTATCCTCTTGTTGTATCGATCCCTTTAATATTATGAAGTGGCCTTCCTTATCTCTTGTTATGGCCTTCACTTTGAGGTCTATTTTGTCAGATATAAGTATTGCTACCCCAGCTTCTTTTTCATTTCCATTTGCCTGAAAGATATTTTTCCATCCCTTACTTTCAGTCTGTGTGAGTCCCTTTTTCTGAGGTGGGTCTCTTGTAGACAGCATATACATGGGTCATGTTTTTTTATCCATTCAGCCACTCGATGTCTTTTGGTTGGAGCGTTTAGTCCGTTTACATTTAAAGTTATTATTGAAAGGTACGTGCTTGGATTCATTTCTATTTTCATGCCTGTGTTCTTTCTTACCTTTATATTTCTTCTTTTTACAGCATTCCTTTTAGCATTTCTTGCAGTGCTGGCTTGATAGAGATAAACTCCCTTAGACTTTTTTTGTCTGCAAAGCTCCTGATTTCCCCTCCAATTTTGATTGATAGTCTTGCTGGATATATTATTCTTGGGTTCAGTCCTTTGATTTGCAACACTTTGTATACCTCCTTCCATTCCCTTCTAGCTTGATGTGTTTCTGTTGAGAAATCATTTGATAATCAGATGGAGCTTCCTTTGTAGGTTACTCTCTGTTTCTCTCTTGCAGCCTTTAAAATTCTCTCTTTGTCTTGTACATTTGCCATCGTTATTATGATGTGTCTTGGTGTGGGTCTTTTGGAGTTCATCTTGCTTGGGACTCTCTGTACTTGTGTAACTTTTTTCTTCCCCATATCTGGGAAGATTTATGTCATTATTTCTTCAAATAGATTTTCTAATCCTTTTTTTTTATTATTATTAAATCTTTATTGTTCAGATTATTACATTTTTTCCCCATCCCCCCCCCCCATAACTCCCCTCCTCCCAGTTCCGGCCCCACCCTCCGCCCTCACTCCCCACCCACTGTCCTCATCCATAGGTGCACGATTTTTGTCCAGTCTCTTCCCGCATCTCCCACACCCCTTTCCCCCCCAAGAATAGTCAGTCCATTCCCTTTCTATGTCCCTGATTCTATTATAATCACCAGTTCATTCTGTTCATCAGATTATTTATTCACTTGATTCTTAGATTCACTTGTTGATAGATGCATATTTGTTGTTCATAATTTGTATCTTTACCTTTTTCTTCCTCTTCCTCTTCTTAAAGGATACCTTTCAGCATTTCATATAATCCTGGTTTGGTGGTGATGAACTCCTTTAGCTTTTCCTTATCTGTGAAGCTCTTTATCTGACCTTCAATTCTGAATGATAGCTTTGCTGGATAAAGTAATCTTGGTTGTAGGTTCTTGGTATTCATCACTTTGAATATTTCTTGCCACTCCCTTCTGGCCTGCAAAGTTTCTGTTGAGAAATCCGCTGACAGTCATATGGGTATTCCCTTGTAGGTAACTGAGTTTCTTTCTCTTGCTGTTTTTAAGATTCTCTCTTTGTCTTTTGCTCTTGGCATTTTAATTATGATGTGTCTTGGTGTGGTCCTCTTTGGATTCCTTTTGTTTGGGGTTCTCCGCGCTTCTTGCACCTGTAAGTCCATTTCTTCACCAGGTGGGGGAAGTTTTCTGTCATTATTTCTTCAAATAGGTTTTCAATATCTTGCTCTCTCTCATTTTCTGGCACCCCTATAATTCTGATGTTGGTACGCTTGAAGCTGTCCCAGAGGCTCCTTACACTATCCTCGCATTTTTGGATTCTTTTTTCATTTTGTTTTTCCAGTTGGGTGTTTTTTGCTTCCTCACATTTCAAATCATTGACTTGATTCTTGCGCTCCTCTGGTCTGCTGTCAGGAGTCTGTATAATATTCATTATTTCAGTCTGTGTATGCTTAATTTCTAGTTGGTTCCCCAATATAACATTGAGGTTCTCATTAGTTTTCTTGTAGATCTCATTAAGTTTATCGGTGGCTTCTAGACAGTTCTTGAGAGACCTTAAAAGTGTGGTTCTGAACTCTATATCTTCCATTGACAATTTTGTCCTGTTTCTTTGTCTCCGCATTTTGTTATGCTTCCTTGGTGCACCCCCTAGTGGTCTTTGTTTGCAGTCTTATAGTTAAACCTTGATTGTTGTAGCTAATACCAGGGAGGGTTTGACCTCCAGGCCAAGTGGCTATGAGAATCAGCTGCGTCAGCAGTGAGAGAACTTCTGTCCTCTGGGGAGGTGCTAATCTAGCCTTTGCCTGAGGCTATCCGGCAAATGCCTCTGTGCAGGGCTTGGGCAGGGCGGGTTGGAGAGAGCAGTTATGGCGGCTCTCAGTCCTGTCCCCAGGGGCTCTGCCTCTCTGAGTCCCAGCACCCGCTGCAAACCTCGGAGAGAAAGCTGCACTAGCTCTGATCGAAGCCAGACAGTCCCGCTTCTCCCGTTTGAGTCTGGGTCCCTAAAGACTCGCCTGTATCTGGAGCTCAGAGTCTGCGACTCCCTCCTGATTGAAAACGCCAACCGCGCCCTCCGCCGCCAGCCCGCTCCGCGCACTCCGCACCTCAGAATTTGACTTCAGCACTGCGCCTCCTCTGAGTGTCCGTATGCATTTCTCTTTCCTCCTAGTTGTAGGACTTCCACTCAGCCAGCGTTCCTGTGGTTCTGGGTGATGTCCGTTCCGTCTTTTAGTTTCACTTTTGAAGTAGTTGTTCAAAGCAGCAAACTCCGGCGTTAACCTATGCCGCCATCTTGGTCCTCCAGATTTTCTAATCCTTGCTGCTCTTCTTGTCCTTCTTGCAGCCCTATTATGCATATGTTACTTCGTTTCATGTTGTCTCAAAGCTCCCTTAGGCTCTCCTCCTGCTTTCTAATATTTTTTCTCCAGTTGCTGTTCAGATTGAGCTTATTTCTCTGCGTTATCTTCTAACTCACTAATTCAGTCCTCTGCTTCTTCTAGTCTGCTGTTGAAACTTTCCATGGTGTTTTTTATTGTAGCTATATCACTTTTCATTTCTTCCTGATTCTTGCATAGGTTGTTGATTTTCTCATCCATCTGGTGAATGAATTGTACAACCATTATTCTGAATTCTTTTTCTGTCATGTTGCATGCTTCAACTTCATTAATTTCCTTTCTTGGTGACTCCTCATTGTCTTTCCTCTGGGTGTTATGTTGTCTCTTCATTCTGATTATCTCCCGATGGTTCAAACGTCGAGTTGTGTGGGCCTGGGCCGTGTGCAGTGGGAGCCTCACACCACCCTAGTGTCACTGAAGAGCTCTGACACTAAGATGTGTTGTTGTGGGTTGGTGGGAACTAGGCTTGCTCAGAATCAGTGTTGCCAGCACTCAATGTGGCCTCCTGCGTGCCCTTAGAATCAGGGATCCTGCCTGCATCGTGCTGAAACAGAGATCCCCCTGGAGCTTGTTGAAAATCAGCGCCCCCTAGCATGCGCCAGGAGTCAGACTTCCCCAAGAATCCAGTATCAGAGTCTCTGTTGCTTCGCTCGACCTTGCATTGAGAATCAGGGTCCCTGTGTGCCCTTGCACCAAGAATTGGAGTCACTGGCTCTTAGTATGAATGCACAGGGAGTCAGGGATCTCAGGCACAGGTGATAAGAAACACAGTCAAGTCACTGGTGCTTGGTGCTGCCTCCTGCCCAGAGAATCGGGGTCCCTGGGCCACATGCGACATGGGACAAATTCCCGGTGTTTGCGCGATTGCTCCCAGCCCAGGACTTCTGAAGCGGGCACTACCTGGGACCAGTTCCAAGGTGCCCGCGCACTTCCAGGATAAAGTTCCTGTGGCAGCACTGAGGCCCCGGCAAGGGCTGGGTCTATCAGTTATTATGGCACCGCCGGGCGCGCCTGCAGGGAGGGGGATGGGCTCTGTTACTCAGGGATCTGCCCTGGGGATTTCTGAACTTTTGGTGTCCGCAGGTCTGGAGCTGTTGTCACAGGTCTCTGTCCCCAGTGGCTGCAGGGTCCTGGTATGAGTCTGAGATCAGACTGGGTGGTGCTGAGGCCAGGATCCTAGTCTTAAGCAGCTCTGTTTCCGAAGATGGCGTGGTCGCTATGCCCATGCTGGCCGCCCAGGAGTGTCCACGCAGGGAGCTGGGCTCCGCCGCCTAAGACTGCCTGCTTTAGCAGCCCCTTAGAAGACCTGCAGAATCTAACTGTCCCTAGCTCATACACGCACACACCACACACGTCCACACACTCCTCTATCACTTCCTTGCGCTCTCACACTCTCTCCCTCCCTACCTTCCTGCCGGTCGCCATTTTTTTCCTGTCATCTATCTTAATATATCAAATTGGAATTTTGAAAAGGTCCCACCCAACCAGTGATTGTGATGGTTAAAAACATTTAGTCACTGGCTGTGCATGAAAGCATTAGATAATACTATTATGAAGAGATGTTTATTGAGTTGCTCAATATAATATACAATATACAATATTCAAAATAAAACGTGATATAAATGTCACTATTGCCATTTCCACAATGATCCTTGTTTTCATTAAAGTTTGTCGATAAAATTATAGAGAAATTTGTATTCATGATTAGTACTAAGTAAGTAGATGATACTAAGTGGGAATAGATGGAGATAGTATTGTAAGAACCCAATAAGCTTGATCTACTTATTTAGTCACCTCTCTTATAATAACACAATATGTAATACTCTGTATAGACACTGAGAAGATAAGTGAATGTACAGACTCTCTAGTCATCCATCAAGTGCAGTAAGTTAAGCCCATCTTCATTTCTGTTTTTTTTATTCACAAAGTACACTGAGATCTCTGGTGTCAGGGGATATGACTTCCTTGAAGAACAAAGTGTAAGTCCTTAGGGAAAGTCAGGCTCCACTTACAGTCCCATCTCTCAACTCAGCCTTTAAAATAATGGGGTTTTTTGGTTGAATAATTCCTTGAAAATCTAGCTCCACAGGAATCTGCAAATGTTAAACAGCATAGGAGAACCAGTTAATGAAGCACTATCAACACCAAAAGCAAAGCAGATGAGATACATTGAGGACAATAATGCTTTACAATATATAGAAATTACTTTTAGCATAATATATCTTTGTTTCTTTATTCAGTAAGCTGTCTGAGACTGGACAGTGAAAGCATTCATCAATATATTCATTCAAGAAAATATCAATTACAGCATCTAAATAGGAAGGTTTTACATTAATAGGAAGATCTGGAATCTCTCCTCTGAAGAACATAAGCAATAGCTGTCATTGAGTGATGGCAAGCAAGGCCCTATAATAAGGCTTATTTCTAGGACTTGTATATTTATTATGCAGCTCCCTTCCTTAAGTAGGCTTTCTCAGAGAAGAGGAGGAGGATGAAGATGGTTTCCATCTTATTTGTGGCTTTAGGCAGCTATGTAGCAGTCCTGTAAGTGCATATAAAGGGGGTCTTAGCCCTGAGCGGAAGTGGGCCTCTGCACACCTGGGGTGGTGCAGACACTCCCTGAGAGCTCCCAGTCATCTCTAGCCAGAGACAATCATATTGGTTTGTGCTTGTTTTTGGCTTGAATTTTAAGCAAATGAATGCATTTTTAAAATGTAAACCAGATTCTTAGGCATTATGAAAAACTATTTAGAAAAGCCATACAGAATTAATTTTGTGCATATTGGAAATTGCAAGGTAACCTGAGTACATATTATATATTTTAATTATTTGAATTATCCATCACTTCTAAGGAGTCCAGTCACTTCTCCCAGTGGAAGCCTTTTAGTTTCATGATGGGAAAAGGTATTTGTCAAGGATTGTGCCTATTTTCTAACATCTCCTGGTTCACAGTGTAAATAGTGAACTTCTGAATAGCGTTTTGACCTAAGTAGTGTTTTGAATAATTTTTTAGCTCTATTCCCACCGAGTTACACTCTCAGTGTTGGGGGAGCCACCAACACAGTAACCTTCATATCTCAGTTGACTGAAGGGCAAGAAAATTGCAATGGAGGGTGAAAAGCACAAGCCAGAGATGACTGGGAGCTTTCAGGGAGTGTCTGCACGCCCCCCCCCCCCAAAAGGTGTGCAGAGGCCCACGTCCTCTCAAGGCTAAGACCCCCTTTATATGCACTTACAGGACTGCTACATAGCGGCCTAAAGCCACAAATAAGATGGAAACCATCTTCATCCTCCTCCTCTTCTCTGAGAAAACCTACTTAAGGAAAGGAGCTGCAAAATAAATATACAAGTCCTAGAAATAAGCCTTATTATAGGGCCTTGCTTGCTATCACTCAATGACAACTATTGCTTATGTTCTTCAGAGGAGAGATTCCAGATCTTCCTATTAATGTAAAACCTTCCTATTTTATAATTTCAAATGGCATGTATATATTTCCCCTGTACACAGACCAACACACGTAGAAAATGTACATTACAAATGTTATTTGTTAAATTTTTCAAATTAAATCATTTAAAATGTGGATTCATGATCTCCAAATCAACTGCAAAATACTCTTTAAGCATTTCCTGAATGACCGCAAGGCACTATTGGGAATTTATGAAAGGAATAAAATGAGGTGCTAGACTTAAGGATATTCTTAGATACAAAGAAAACACAGAGTACCAAACTGGATGGTTTAATGATAAAGTTTTTGGTTAGGAAGGATAGTGATGATTCCAGCCTGCAGTAGCAATAACATGGCAGAGGAAAAATGGGCGGGAAGCCTCCTGGAAGGGCTTTGGGAGTGAACTAGGACTTGAAAGATGAGAACAGAATGGGGAAGAGAGTGAGAAAAACATCATAGAGTTCATATTAGGATGTAAAGAATCCAACTTGATTGCATCAGGTTTCAAGTGGCCAGGATGGCCATGGACTGTTGGAGTTCTTACGCCAGGCAGAAATGCTTTAATCAACCTTGGCTGCATATGAAAACCAAACCGGGTGCTTTTAAAGCCACACAGGATGGATTATTTTAGAATCTGAGATGACCTCAGCATAGGATTTTTAAAAGATCCCTGCTGATTTCATTGTATAACCAGTGGTTGAGAACCCTATCACAAGAGCTTCTGTAAGTTCTGGTGGAAAAGAGCAGTGTTCAAAAGTCATGACCCAGTTATCATTGTACTTCACGATTGTACACAGCACTTTCCCTTCCTTCCAGTGGACTTGAAACCAAATTTAAACTTTTCTCAAATGACTCTACCTGATCATGTCACACTAACTATATTGGCTCTAGATGGCCTTTATAGTTGGATATTTATAAAAACACAGGCTTAGCACTCTAGACTACCAGGATCTTAAAGGTTACATTTGACTCCAGATAGATGCTCTGTCCAACAGAACAAAGTATTAAACAATGAATGAGCACACTCATGCATATGTACCTCAGTTTAAGAAAAACTCTCAATCAAGTATCATTCACACAGAGTGGTAACATGTTAAGTATCTGACCTGTGTTTCTTTGCAGGGTTTGAAGGAGAAGTTCTGCAGAACTCTGACGAGAGCAATTTTCATGTTCATGAGAGCGAACCTCATTCCGATGCAGTTTCTGGGTCCATTTCCAAAGGGTGTGTATATGTAAGGATTTATCCTGTCCTTGTTCTCCTTGCTAAACCTAGTTATATAACAGTAGATGCAAACAATTAATGAAACATAAACACCACAAGAGCTACATGTTTGGGCTTCTTAGGCTCCCGTACAAGTAGTGTACAGAATAACTCCTTTGGGCTAGTCAGTGAGATCCTGCTATAGTTATGTGGCTGTAAGAATGGTAAGCTACAGATTCTTTCCATTCCCCATACCCTATACGAGCTAACAGTATTATTGAAGAGATGACATGAATGCTCTTTACAGGAAAATTTATCTTTAAACGCTAAATTACATTCAGGGTATTGAGATGTTCACACTCTGAAAGGCAAGTAGGAAATGAGACTAATTGAAGAAAAAGTAGGTCCCTGCCTCCATCAAACTCATGTTGGTCACATGCTCATGGAGGAAGGAAGTAGGAAACATATCTCTTATTAGTTGCATTATTAATTTTTCCTTCCCTTCCCGTTCCTTCCTCCACTCCCCACTTTCCTCTCCTCCCTTCCTCTCACCTCTTCTGTCCCTCTCCCATTGAATAGCTTAAATCAGATGACTCATATGGACATATGATGCTCCTCTACTCTAATATAATCTGTGGTTCCCTTGTCTATCTGTTCCACTAGGCTATAAATTTCGTGAAAGTTAGACTTACGTTTTATTCAAATTTGATCCCTCAATATTTGATTATATTAAGGGAAAATGTGGATTTGGGAAAGTGATCATGTCATTGTGGTTATGTATTTTTAAAAGGTTCTTGAACATTGGAATATTTAGAGATGGTATGCCTTAAGATAATATGGGAATTAGGAGGATGGTAGTAATGGTGTGTGAATGGGACAGCACACATAGTTTGATGGCTGTAAACATGTGATGGGCACACATAGATGAATTAAAAGTAGACTTGTATCTGTAGAAAATGATTTTGTATATTTGTGTGAGTGTTAACTTCTCCATAATAGGCATTTTTTAACATGGATTTCTCACTGCCTTGCCCACCTCCTGACATGGTAGGCAGTTACTCTCTGTGGAAGACTTAATGATCAAAAGAGCAGTACAGTCAGTGGTCTCTGGTTGGGGGTGGGGGGAGAAAAAACGGTTGAGCTTGGAGGAAACACAGAGGCCCCTTGGTCCAGAAAACAGAGGATTTGGTCACGTCTAACTTCTTCTTTCACCAAATACTATGTGTAGACAATAAGCTAGAACTAAGAACACCATGGTAAATGAGAGAAGGTCCCTGCCATTAGGGATCTTATAGTAGGGCTAATGAAAGCCTAGGTCCCAGCTAGTGCCCTCAATAGTTAATTCCAATTTTGCTCATCAATACAATAAATGGGAAACATCAGCTCTTTCTAGAGTTCAAGCTGTGCCTCAAGCTAGGCCTTGGCTCTGAATTTCCAGAAGAACATGCTAAAGATCCTCCTAGGGGGCGTGTCTCGGGTGTCTGGAGAGCAGGTGACTTTTCTTTGGAAGTTGCCAGTTTCTTTGAGAGTAGGAGGAAGCTGACACAGGACTGTAGCCAAACACAGACCAGTGACTTGTGTTCTCCTCTGTCCTCCAGGGGCCACTTGAATCATCAGGGATGAGAACCTCTCAGGTTCCCATAATGCACTCTCCCAATAATGATAAAGATGTGGCCACCAATGTGAAAAAAACAAAAACAAACAGAATGTGGAAACGTTGCTGGTAAATTCAGAGAGCTAATGAGAACAACACAGAAAAATTTAAAGAAGTAAAAAAGCCTACATTCCTAAAATCAGATAATGATTAAGTAATTTATGGCATAAGCATATAGTCACATCTGCATAAATATTTATATGTATGCATACCTATATATGATGGTTATATATAAAAGGACACTCTTTTTAGTTTACTGGTAAATAAAGTAAGCAGTTTAAAATAAAAAATATATTACTATTTTAATTTTAAAAATCTACACATGCTTAGAAATAATGACATATATTGTATTACTAATGAGGCCTATCTTAATATATTAGTATTGGACAGATACAATTTTCTTTTAGCTAGTCTAGAGTTTGTAAAATTTTGTCAACAAACAATGATTACTCTTGTAATAAGAAAAAACAAACTTGTAAAAACAGAAAAATGTACATATAAATGATTGAACAACCACACATTCATCATCTATACTAAAAGACATCAGATTATGTCCAACCAGCCTGGATGAGGGTGGGTTCCCTTTCCCAGGGGTCCAGTACCTTTCAGGATGGAACTCCTCCGGCTCTGTCCAGTATGTCGGGTCTAGATGAAGAACATAGCTTGGCACCATCACCACTGTTCCTTTGGGAATGAACACCCCATTGATTTCCACATCCTTCTTACAGACCCGCTCAAGTCTACCAGCAATTGGGAATAGTCTGAGGGATTCATTCATCACCATGTCAAGATACTCCATCTGTGCCAGGGCATCATAGGTGGGAGTTGCCTGGGAAGAAAGAAACAGATTTTGATAAACTGAGACTTGAGATCAACTTTCAATTCAGTCTATGTAGTTCTATAGAAATGTTAGGAGCTCCAAAGAATAACTTATTTGGGTAAAGGACCTTAGGATTTATAGACATTTTAATATCTGTCATGTCCTTTGGCCTGCTTAATGGCCCATTGAGATGTGTGGAGTAGTTATGACTATGGGAGGACGTTGGGGACAATACCCTAAACAGGACCCAAAATCCCTCACATTACCATGTAGTGATTTTTTTTTTTTATCTCATGTGAGTAACAGACTATGACCCAAATTCTTAACTGAAATACGGTAAGGTCACTGTTTTCAAAAGAGACGCCACACCTCTGTACAAAGGAAAGAGAATGTGTAAAAGAGCAAAATTCCAACTTGACAGTGTTCAGTTGAAAAATCCTGCTTACTAAGCCTTTAGATTATATATATAATTTGGAGAGAAACACCATATAAGTAGAAACTCTATAAATAACAAAACTCTGTAAGTATAGCAAAAGAAGGGCGTGACTGAAAAAAATGAAAGCAGGGCACACAATTTCATTCTAGCAGAAGCTATAAAGAGGTGGAACCCCACTCAGCCTCATGCTGCCTTGCTGGAACAGTCTCCTAGTTGTTCAGGGTTTGACTGTAAGCTGTGAAGATCTCATACAAGCCTCGCCAGCCCCAGAGGCCAGTCTCTTCCTACCACAAAGAGTTCCAGTTTTGTCAGATATCTGAAAACAGTGTGTGCAATATGTGGGTATCACTTGGTGTTATATTGAAGAGGCAATACTGGAGAGGTTAAGGGTTTGGCTAGTGGCTTCTTCACCACTAGCTATATGACTAGTGTATGAAAATTATTTCACCTCTCAGTTTTCTGATATGTTACATGGAGATATTTAGAGTTGACACTTCATAGGGTTGCTTGGTAGAGACATCACTGCTCACCCAATATCCATGTAGTCTCCATATCTCCCAGCCCACTTGAATCTAGGGTAGTGGTCGGCAAACTCATTAGTCAACAGAGCCAAATATCACCAGTACAACGATTGAAATTTCTTTTGAGAGCCAAATTTTTGTAACTTAAATTATATAGGTAGGTACATTGTTATTAACTTAATTAGGGTACTCCTAAGGCTTAGGAAGAGCCACACTCAAAGGGCCAAAGAGCCACATGTGGATCAAGAGCCACAGTTTGCCAACCACGGAGCTAGGGGGAACCAGCTTTGAGAATGGGCTCCGAGCTGAGGTGACATATGTCAGTTCAGAGTCAAAACACTTGAATACCCAGTGAGCAACACCCTACTTCTTTATTCTCCAACCAACATGACGGCCTTGTGCTCCAGAAAGTGTAGCTACAAGAAAATGGATCCTGCCCTAACTGCTTTGGCTCAGTGGATAGAGCGTTGGCCTGTGGACTGAAGGGTCCCAGGTTCGATTCCGGTCAAGGGTATGTACCTTGGTTGTGGGCACATTCCCAGTAGGGGGTGTGCAGAAGGCAGCTGATCGATATTTCTAACTCTCTATCTCCCTTCCTCTCTGTAAAAAAATCAATAAAGTATATTTTTTTTTTAAAAAAGAAAATAGTTTTGTTTTTTTTTAAAAAAATGGGTCCTTTTTAGCTTATATTTCTGAGTAACTATGGAGCACAAAGTCCCACTCCCATCCTTCATTAACAATCCATGTTGGACATGTTAATGTGAGTTGGAAATAATCCTTTGTAATGTAAATCCATTGAGAATAGAGGGCTAATCTGTAGTTGTGGCAAATTTAGCCTATTCTGACTAATGTATCACTTTTTTAAATTGAATTTATTGGGGTGACATTGGTTAATAAAATTATATAGTTTTCAGTTACAATACTGTAATACTCCATCTGTATATTGTACTGTATGATCACCACCCCAAGTCAAGTTTCCTTTCATCACCATTTATCCCCCCTCTCTCCCCCCATACTCTCTTCTACTTCTGCCAACGCCTATTCTCTGGTAATCATCATGCTATTGTCTGTGTCTATGAGTTTCTTGTTTTTTGTTAATCCTCACCCGAGGATATTTTTCCATTGATTTTTAGAGAGAGTGGAAGGGAGGGGGAAAGACACACAGAGAGAAACATCAATGTGAGAGAGACACATGGATTGGTTGCTTCCACATCATGGCCATGGATCCAGCCTGCATCCAAGGTATGTGCCCTTGAAAGCAATCAAACCCAGAACCCTTTAGTCTGAGGGCCAAAGCTCTATCACTGAGCCAAAGTGGCTAGGGCTGTGTGAATTAGGTTTTTTTGCTTAACCTCTTCACCGTTTTCACCCAGCCTCCCAAAGCCCCCTTCCCCTCTGATAGTCTGTTCTCTATCTATGAGTCTGTTTCTATTTTTAATACATAATTTTTTTAAAATTCATTTATAAATATAAGGCATTTAGAACGGACAAATATAGTGAGAAGTATATGTTAGCTATTAGTGTTGTTGTCATTGTTACTCTTATTAAGAGGGGAGGACATGATGCTTTAGCTAGTCTGTTTCTTAGTGACCTTTCCATCTTATTGCAATAAAATGATCTCCAATATAGGCTTACCCAGAGAAGAAAAATAATCTTTAATTTAGTTGGACCCTAAAATGTATCTTTATTTTATACTAGAAGCCCAGTGCACGACATTCGTGTACTGGTGGCTGCAGGATGCGGGTCCCTCAGCCCAGCCTGTGCCCTTTCGCAGTCTGGGAGCCTCGGGGGATGTCCGATTGACGGCTTAGGCCCACTCCCCTGTCGGAGCGCACTGACCACCAGGGGGCAGCTCATGCTTTGAGCATCTGCCCCCTGGTGGTCAGTGTGCATCATAGCAATCAGTCAGTTTGGTCAATTTGCATATTACCCTTATATTATATAGGATTTGAAGGACCTATGACACAGAGAGTTCTTAAGACCTGTCCAAAACCACAGTCTGGACTCATGTTTTCTATTTCCTACACTATGTTCTTTTCTGTATACCAGGCTTCTCCTAGATTGCAAAGTTTACCCAAGGTGGTAGATTCCAGTAATAGTGCCAGTTTCCCACACCTTCCTTTGTCCATGCCCTTAGCCATCTAACTTTGTTCCCTCCTATTATGATGCTGGGGTTGGCCTTGGTGCATGCTTTAAATCACACTTAGTTGGCTAAGTGTGATGCAAGCAGAGTTCTGAAAGGCACCCATATGTTTGGGCTTATTAGTCATTCCCTCTGTCATTGCCTGAGAAGAACATACCCAGGCTAGTTGTCTGGAGTATGGGAGATATGTGGATCCTGTGTGGAGCTGATTCACCCAGCCACTTAGCCAAGGCCAGCCTAGATCAGCCAAGAGCCAGACTAAAACGAGTCTAGTCAATAGCAACACAGGTAATTATCTAGACACTTGAGCAATAAATTCCTATTGTTAATTGCCACGGAGGTTTTAAAATTTTTTTTCATTTGACATTATTGTGATAACAGATAACTGACACAACAGGACCAACACTTTTTTCAAAGATCTTATATATCTCTAATAACAAAAATTACCTATATTCTTTGATTGTTTTTGTCTTTTTACATCCTTCCTAAATAGCACAAGTAAAATAATTGATGCTTACATTCTTTGTAAAAATTCTCCTAGGAAGTGGTGAGGAGGCATTCTTGATAAGGCTTTACTTTCTCCCTCGTTCTCCAAGTATCACCCACTCACCTTGTTGGGAAACGTTGCATCAATCTCCTTGTGCAATTTCTGCTGCACATCGGGGTGAGTGGCCAGCAAATACATAAGGAAAGAAAGAGAACTGCTAGTGGTCTCATAGCCGGCAAACAGAAAGATAATAGATTGGGCAACAAGCTCCAGATCAGTCAGAGCTAAAAGGAGAAGAAAGATATTTTATAAAGCAGGTCAATGAACAACATCACAATTTAGATTATGAGAAATCCAAATCAAACTCCCAAACCCTTATAGGAAAAATTGAAAAAACAATTCAGCTTAAATTGGGAGTGTTTTGCACTCTGATGTGTATGTTACAGAGCCAGAAAAAGGCAAAAATGTCTTCATCTGCTCCCCCGCCGACCCGGGTCTATTCTATTCTTCACCATCTGCTTCTGGTTGTGTCACTCTCTCCAGAACATAGCTGTGCAATTTTAAGACATAGCGTTTTGTGTTACATGCACAGTGTTATCAGTCTGTCCCTTGGAGAATCCTGAAAGTACTTTAGCTACAGGTAATATGGGATAGATTTCTCCCCCAGGAAAATTTTAAATTATTCTAGATAAAATATACCTGGATAATTTTTAAGTATATTTTTTAAAAATATATCTTTTTATTGATTTCAGAGTGGAAGGGAGAGGGAGAGAGAGATAGAAACATTAATGATGAGAGAATCACTAATCTACTACCTCCTGCATGCCCCGCACTGGGGATCAAGCCCGCAACCCAGGCACACACCCTTAACCAGAATCAAACCCGGGACTCTCCCAGTCTACAAGCTGACACTCTATCCACTGAGCCAAACCGGCCAGGGCCCTGGGTAATTTTTAAGAGACTTTGCACTAAGGCTTATGCAGGGAAAATTAAAGGATCTTTCATTCAAAAATGTTTGCAGAAACTTTAGAGAATGATACTGGGCTACACATAAAATATGGTTACTCTAAGAATTGTCCATAGACCAGCATCATCAGCAGTATCTGGAAGATTATTAGAAATGCAGAATCTTAAATCCCATACAAAAATTACTGAATCACAGTATGAACTGTCAAGAGATGTGATGATTTTCAGAACTAGAACAAAAAAATCAAAAATTTATATGTAACCACAAAAGACCTCAAATAGCCAAGAAATCTTGGGAAAGAACAAAGTTGGAGGTATCACACTACCTAATATCAAACTATACTACAGGACTATAGTAATCAAAACAGCATAGTATTGGCATAAAAACAGTTAAGATCAACGGAACAGAATAGGGAACCCAGACCGATATGGTCAATTGATATTTGACAAAGAAGACAAGAACATACAAGGAAGTAAAAATAGTCTATTCAATAAATGTTTGGAAAATTGGACAGGTATGAGCAAAAAAAAAATGAAACTAGACCATATTTTTTTAAATATTCATCCAAGGACATGCTTATTGACAGTGAGAGAGAGAGGGAGAGAAATATCAATATGAAAAACATCAATCAGTCCCCTCCCTGCCTCTCCCCTCGTATGTGCCCTGAGAGGAGGCTGCAACTGGGGGTCAAACCCGCTGCCCAGACATGTGCCCTACTTGGGGATTGAACCCACAACCTTTCATTGTACGGGATGATGCTCCAACCAACTGAGCCATACTGGTCAGGGCCTAGACTATCTTTTTACACTGTATAGAAGAATAAACTCAAAATGAATTAAAGACTTAAATGTAAGACTTGAACCATAAAAACCCTAGAAGAAAACAGAGGCAGTAAAATCTCTGACATTTTTCTTGGCAATATTTTTTCCTGACATATCTGCTTGGGCAAGGGAAACTATAAATAAATGGGACTACATCAAACTAAAGAGTTTACACAGCAAAGGAAACCATCAACAAAACAAAAAGACAACCTGTGAATGGGAGACAATATTCACCAATGATACATTCCATGAGGTGTTAATACTCCAAAT